TAGACTGCTTGGTTTCTCCCACTGACCTGGGTTTTACCCACAGTCCACAAATTTCCACAGGATGGAGGCTGGAACGTTAAGTTGTCCTGATTTATCCAGTAAAACCAGTTTGAACTCTGACCAGGTGATGGACTGTGGCAGGAAACCAACCAGCTCAATAGGAAGGTTAGTCCGACATCATGGCTTTTGGAACATGGCGGTCGTCTTCTCCTCCAGCAGAGCTAGCAGTTAGTTATCAGAGTAGCACCTCAACCAGAACCAGACGGGTCCTAAAGTCAAACAGATCCTAACGCTGATCTCTGTGTCTCTCCCCAGTCGATCCAGCCTCAACGCCCAGCCGGACGACCTCAAGCTGAACTGTGGCGATCAGGACTTCACCGCCGCCATCATCAGCATTCCGACTCCGCCTGCCAACACGCCGGACGAGAGTCTGCCTCCGTCGCCGATGCCCGTCCCCGGCATCCTGCGGAACACCCGGGCCACCGCCTATACCCATGAAACCGTCAAGATCTCTTCCTTATAACCTCTGACCCCTGCTCCCCCAGACTCCAATCCTCCCACTCTGAACCTCTGGTTCTGATCCATGGCTCGGGATCAGCCGGATCTTTGGAGCTGCAGGAAGATCAGATGAGCATGAAGCTGAAGCTGCAGAATCTTTAGATTTTATTCTCCTGAGAACGTTCAGGAATCAGAACCTTGAGCCAGTCCAACACCCCCGACACCGTCCATCTCTCCTGGGCCGGGTCGTCCTGGACCAGCTAAACCAGCTGGTCCAGCTGTTTCTTTCTTTGGGTTTGGTTCTGTTTAAATGGGTCGGATGGAAAGCGGCGCTGTCTAGAAATGAATCTTGTTGGAGTGACTGAACTCAGGTTTTTGGGTTGAGCTGGAAGCTGAGTGGTTCGGCCCGGTTTTCAGTGAGAACCGGGTTCGTTATGGGATTGAATCCAGGATCCAGAGACGGAATCTTCAGGATTAACGATGCAGGTTTGGATCGCTTTGTTCTGAAGAATGGAAACACTAGTGATGGAACCAACGGCCCAATCCGGACCCGACCAATTCTCTCCTCCTGCAACTGAACCTTTGGAGTGCTGCATGCAGGTTCTGATCCAAACTGCTCTTGTTCTGCTTGTTCAATGCGGACCAAGAACCTTTTGCTCTTTAAAATATGCAACGTCTCTCTGGTGAGGAAACCAGAACCAGGAGGTGAACAGAACTCCAGCAGAACCGCAAAACGGACGGGTTTCATTTGTCATGTGACAGGAAGATTATAGGAGGAAGTGCCTGAAGATTCCCCAGATGGAGGTTCTGATGATCCGGTTGACGTGCGTCTACCTGTCAGACGGTCCAGACAGAACCAGAATCAGAACCAACTGATGCCACCAGAGTCACATGACCAACCAGCTGCTTCTGACCCGTTCTAGTCCTTTGGTAGGTTCTGGTTCTGTTTGGTTTCTGGTCCAAATAAAGCAGTCAGAGGCTCCAGCTGAAGAGTTCTGGGCAGAACCGAGGACCGGGTCCAACTGATGATCCAGTGGAACCACTCAGCTGCTGGAGGTTCTGGTCCAACTTGACGTGACCTTTGACCTTCCCAGTTTGATGACAGGCACTCACATTAGCTGAGTTGTTGGAAGGCGTCACGATCCAGATGGTTCTGTTTCAGTACCTTCAGTTTGTTCTGGGTCGGTGACTTTCTGGTTCGGGTCCAACTGGTATCATGGTTCTGGTTCATCTTGAAACTCTGGTGGCCCGGAGACGGCGGGTCGGAGTCGATCCGGCGGGTCGGAGTCGATCCGGCGGGTCGGAGCGCTGCTGTCTCCAAACTGGCCACCAGGTGGCAGAATTGAACAACATGGGATCTTTAGCTGCTGCAGTTGAACTGGTGTTTGTCCTGGTCGGCCCGGTTCTGAAGTCCAACACCGAATGTTTCCAACAATCTTACATAAATTTAACGACATAAAGACAAACAAACATGGTCAAAATTTCTGCTGTTTGGAGGAAAAGATGAAACACTCTTCCTACTCCGTCTTTCCATCTCCGTAAGGAGCAGGAAGCAAGACAGGAAACAGGAAGTAGCATGTTGACCCGGCTGGGAGAACCTGAAGGCGCAGTTTCTCCAGCAGAGCAGACTGAATGCTGTAACATATTTTGTATCATAAATGCTCCAACCAAAACAGAGACGGTTAGATGGAGGAGTCAGGGAGCCGCTGGTGATCCTCCTGCATGAGCCTCGTAGACGTAGCTCCGCCCATCATCTATCTACCTAACAAACAGAGGAAGAGGAAGAAGAAGAGCTCTTCTTTTGTCCTTTTGCATGATGATGTTGGTTCTGTTGGCTTCCTTCCTTCCTTCCTTCCTTCCTTCCTTCCTTCCTTCCTTCCTGTGGATTTTTTGTCCACTGAGGAGAAATCAAGCAGATTATATCAGAGTTCCTGATTTCAGATTCATTCAGGCATGCTCCTCCAGTGTGTGTGTGTGTGTGTGTGTGTGTGTGTGTGTGTGTGTGTGTGTGTGTGTGTGTGGTGAGCAGTCACTACTATGCATGGATACCGTTGTAGGTATTTTAGCTGTTTTCTCCCACGACAGACAGGAAATGCTCCAGAAGGTTTTTCTTCTTCTGCAGCTTCCAGACAAAATGACACGTCAACATGGTCAACGGACAACTAATGCAACAAAATTCAGTTCAGTTCTAAGCTGTGGATAAATGATTTCCCTTCTTGTCTCAAGTGAAAGTTCTTATTATAATTTGTATTATTGTTGCTGCAGCAGCTGGAGGTTTTGGGTTTGAGTCCCGGCCTGCAGGTCGCTTGTTCTCCTCCCACAGACCAGAAACACGACTGTCAGGCCGTCGCCTGACCTCTGAACTCTGACCCCTGTGGCACCTGGTATGACATATGGAATAAAGAAACATGGCTGACTGAAGGCATTTACAGAAAAATAATACAAAATTCAGAAATAAATCAAATATCACACAAAGAAATGAAAAGGAAATAAAATGGAATATTTATTACAGTGTAATAAATATATGAATTTCTGCCACAAGTCTTAAAGTTGATAACAGAACAACTGATTTTACAAAAAATTTGTTGCATTTGTTGGAATTAATCTATTGAGCTTTTTCTCTGAATCTGCATGGAGAAAAATAAACTTATTGAAAAATAAATAAGCTAAAAAAATGACGATAAAATAAATAATCGAATATTGCATCCAAAAAATAAAAAAAACAAGAAGGTTCCCAACTCATTTGACTATACAGTTTAACAATAATTAATATTTGTTTAATAGTTTCAGCAGTAGTAAAAAGAAAACTTTCCTTTTTAGACAAACCTTCTCCACTTTTAAATGACCGTCTTTTTTCAGTTGTTGATTTTATTTGTTTTTAGCTGCAATATGTAGCATGTTGAGATTTTTGTTAATGAAAAGTTTGTTATAAATAAAACTGATTATTATTATTATTATTACTACTACTACTTTAACATTATTCTGTTTTCTGTTCATTTTCCTTTATGGGAAAAATGTTTTACAGTAAAACGTTTTTATTTTCTCTTATATAAAAATGTTGAATTATAAGGAAGAAATTGAATCCATGTATCACTGAAACAGTGACAAAATAAGTAAAAATTATATGAATTCCAATATAAAAAACTTTTTCAAACTTTTTATATATTAATTTTGAAAAAAGAAAATAATGTAATGTGACAGTAAATTCAGAAATCATTAAATGAATAGCAAAATAAAAATGTTTTAAAAATCATGAAAGAAAAAATGAAATGAAAAATTAAATAACTGATATATTAAACTAATACAGCTGAAAATGATGAGCAGATATTAATTATTGTTGCTCTGTGTAATCAAATACTTGCAGGGAGTTTTTATTCAGTTTTGTGTTCAATATTTGGCAGATTAATTAATTTATCCACTAATTTATTGATACTTGTGTTTATTGGAGGTTCAGTCAGGATCTGTATACTGGAGCAGAGTTCATCCTGGAGCTTTGACCTTTGACCTGAGCGGCGACAGATGATGATGATGATGATGATGATGATGATGATGATGATGATGCAATGAGGGAGGAAACAGCATTAAAGCACACAGGTGTATAATCCATTCCACTAATAAAGAGCAACAGAAACTGAAGAAAATGTCTGCCGGATTTCTTTCAGCCTCAAACTCAACAGCTCCGCCTGCTGGTCACAGTGCAAACAACACGGACTTCCTGTTTACTGAGCGGAGCAGGAAAGAGATGCTGCCATCTCGCGGTCAGAGTGTGAAACTGCCGCATCAGTCCCAAGTTTTTCTTTTTAAAAGATGATTGTATTATTAAGCAGTAAAAAGGAGAAAAAGGATTAATATCAATGTTTATGTATAGTTATTCATAATAATATTAATAAGAAGAATTTATTACTAGTAGTATTATTCTGCTACTTTTTTGTTTCTTTTCCTTTTTCAGAGAAATTAATCAAAATAATAGTGATGTGGCAGTAAGCAGAGCATGAACTGCTCATATTTAATAACTGTTCAGATGATGGGAAAAGGCGTTAATGTGTCATATTTTAGTTTATGGAGTCAATCTGCACTCACTGATATTCAGTTTATTACTTAGCTTCAATTCATGATTATGATTTATGGCATCAATAAAAACGGTTTCCAGTTTGGAACATTTTTAGTAGTTAAGATATTTCAGGCATCTCGAGTTGAGCTGACTCGTCATAACGACGTCACTGAAATAATTATCCTCTCAAAACATCCCAGAATTACGAATCAGTTTTGAAACTTCAATGAAACAATGAAAAATAACTAAATGTTTTTGTAGCTGCTCCATTTTCAGCAGATTCTCTTCAAAACGTTTTGAAGAGAATCGTCACTTTGACCGGCGGAGGTTCAGAGTTTAGAAAGGAGGCGTGGCAGCAAAACGAGGCGCATTTATTCAGATTTATTCAGATTTATTCAGATTTATTCACAGCTGCATGTCACGTTTGGACCGACACCCATCACACAGTTTTATAGCTTTGGCAAATTCAGCCGTCATACCAAGTAAAGGGTTGATCAGAACAACAAGAAACAAACATTATTTACATAAAACAATAAATGGGACTGATAAATATTTAAATGCATGCAAATCATAACTAAACTAATTTAAGGTCAATCAAAGTTAATATAACTCCTCAGAGCCTGTTGCTGCTGAAGAAAAGGTAAGAACTCAAATGAAACCCAGAGAAGTTCATCAGAAACCAGGCCGCCTGTCAGCCGGAAAACTAAAAGTCACAATGACACCGACAGCAACTCCGAATCCTCATGAGAGTCAGGGCGGCCATCTTGGAGAGGGCGACCGCTCCACTCAGCGTTATGTTGAACAGGTGTTCTGTCGATCTGTCATACCTCGTGGTAATGCGCATGCGCACATCAATGTTACGTCTCATAAATCCGTCATACCTGTACAAGTTTCGTTTCGTGTGTTTTATTTCTCGGAAGTTTACGGTAAATAAAAAAATAAAATAAGAAAAATCTATTTATCTCCACGCAGAGTCCAGAAAGAGGTGATGTTCTGCTTTTAGCCCAACAGCTTCGGTCAGC